TCACAGCGCTGACTCACTGTAAACACATCACAGCGCTGACTCACTGTAAACACATCACAGCGCTGACTCACTGAGCAGTCTTGTGCCTATTCCTTACTTCTTATGCCAAGTGTAAGGTAAGCCAGGACTGTGCGGCAGTTCCCAAGGGGCGGTCTGTAGTGCGAACAAAACAAAATCCGTGTTCATGACGCAGTGTGGTGCGAGTGTTGCTCAGTTAGTACATCATCTCATCACCAGGGAGTGAGCAGCAAGCAACCTCTGCGGCTAGCCGTGGGAGGCGGAGGTGGATGATCTCAGGGTCAGCCCCTCCCTATGGAAAACATCAGTGGATTGTGCGAGCCCTCGGAAGACGCAAGAATGAATGATCAGTGAACGCGATGGGGCTCACGACGCGGGCGAATTTTAAAACACTGGAGAACATAGGTTATAATGTTCTTATAGCCCTTCAGTTTGTGTGAGGTCCATTTCCCTCTTTTGCATGGATTGAAATATGTAAGTCGACTTTATATTCTCAGCTGCGAGACAAGGACCTCCCCGTAGTTTAGTCAGAAAATAGCTGTCTTTAGAGAATAGTCTGCCTGTCTTTCTACTGCCCAGGCCTCAGAGCTACTCACGGTTGTGCCCAGATCCAGCCCCTCCTCCAAAAGCAGCCTCCCCACTACTGTGTGACTCCTCCCCTCGTCTTCTTCAGCCCCTCCCCACTACTGTGTGACTCCTCCCCTCGCCTCCTTCAGCCCCTCCCCACTACTGTGTGACTCCTCCCCTCGTCTCCTTCAGCCCCTCCCTGTATCCCCAGTCTTGTCCACCACAAGGTTCAGAACTCTGCTGGGGTCCTCTTTGCAACTCCGACCACCCCATCCCCTGCCTCCCAGCAACTCCGACCACCCCATCCGCTGCCTCCCTGCGACAGACTTCTCCTCACACCCCATTCACTCCTGTCTGCAATGGATTTGGGTCTACTACCAAGCCCCAGGGTCACCAGTGATTTCCATGTAGCCAGACCCATGGCGGTGCTTCTCTTCCGATGGTTCCCTGTTCCTCTTGACACTCTCCCTCTCGGCACCTGTGAAACAGCTGAGCACACTCTGCCTGTCTCGTTGTCCTTCCTGGTGTCTCGGGACTTGGGGCCCTTTCTCTACATTTTCCTACATGAGTTCATGCAGTCCCGTGGTCAGAAATACCGTCTTTCTGCTCATGACTGCTGAGCTATATCCGGGACCTTTCTCCAGATGCCTGATTGACACTCGGTGGCAGCTCCAACCTAAGAAGATCAAGGCTGAACTCGGTCCGACTCCTCCCCACAAGGCAGCTACCTAATGTGGTGAATGGCACCACCATCAACTCAGATCCGAAATCTGGCCATTGTCCTTGGCTCTTCTCCCAGGGGTCCCCAAATCCAGCTATCAAAAACCTATTGTAGAAAAAAAGACTAGCGTGTTCAAAGAATGTTCCACCACTCTCCTTCCCAGCACGTTAGCCATCACTGATTTGATCCTGGCTGCCGTCATCTGTCCAGGTCATGACAACCGTGTCTTCATAACTCTGCAGGTCTGGGTTACACGCCAGCTGCCAGCCGTACACACAGAAGCTGACCTGGCTTTTAAGGCTGTGCCAAGCCTTGCTCTTCACAGCATCCCATCCCGTTTCTGATCTAAACACGGGGCATGGACCTCATCTGTCCCACCTGTCTCCTTGACGGGTTGCTGTGCAACCTTCCCTCTCCTGCCCTACATGGCACCATCCAGGCTCCTGTTCAGTGCCTGGGACTCGCCGCCAGAGTGCCATCTGCCCTGCCCAGTACTTTCTCTGCCCCGGCCCTCCCTCGGCTGAGCTCTTCCTGGCCTTCTTGCCCCCATAAATCAGTGGACGCTGTGGTGGTTTGGATGAAAATGTCCTGCGTAGGCTCGGGTATCTGTGCACTTGGTCTCCAGTTGGTGGCGCTGTTTGGAGGGGGTTAAGGCTATGGGCCATGATGGAAGTATGTCACTGTGGGAGGACCTTGGTGTTTATGGTTTTGCTCTGCTTTCCCGTGTTTGCCACTGAGGATGTGAGCTCCCAGTTCCCTGCTCCGGCTGCCTGCCGCTGGCTACCAGCCTACCCACCAACATGGACTCTTATCCCTCTGAAACCGTAAGCTCAGATAAACCCTCCTGTCTGTGAGTCGCCTCGGATGTGGTGTATTATCACAGCAATAGGCAAGTAACTCATAAAGATCTCCATAGTGAAAGAATTCATGTGCTTTACTGATTTGTTTTCCAGTATGTTGCAGACCCATGGTAACGTAATCTGTAGTGACACGGATTCTTGAAAGAAAAATGGAGAGATGGAGCTGTAACACAGGCCCCATCTTAATTGTTATATTCAACTGTAGTTAGGCTACATTGAAATAAAAAAGACACGTTGAAACTGCACATGGATGCTGCAACAAAGTCAAATTGCTTTTTTCTGTTCATTTTGTTGTGGACACTTAGCAAAGAGCTGCTGTTCAGGTTCTGAGCTGAGGCCCCGCCAGGAACGGAGCTCTTCCGGACTTCTGCCTAAGGGCCGTCTCCCTGAACTGCTGGTTTAAGCAGATCCTCGGTGTCCCTAAGGGCCGTCTCCCTGAACTGCTGGTTTAAGCAGATCCTCGGTGTCCCTAGCACTGCTGGACTCACTCCACTGCCTGCAGTTGGCACCAGGAGAACCCGTGACCCCGTGTAACTGAGATTAGTCCTCTGCTGCTTCTCTCATGGGTAACTCCTTCCACTTCTGACAGGAAACCATGGTTCCTTTAGGCAAGGAAGGAGAACTGACTATACACCATCAAGAAACATCACTTGAGCCTCTGGAGGGCGGGGTGCTTGGTGGATCTTCTTCCTCCTCTCCTTCCTCTTCCTTCTTTTTCTTCTTCTTCCTTTTTTGTGGTTCAGGGAACGCAATATTTTTTTTCCACATTCCACATACTGGTGAGTTCACCATCATGCAGAGTTTTCTGCCTCTGGTATGTTTCATTTGGCATAATACCCTTGGTGTTCATCTATGTTTTTGAAAATGGCAGAGTTCACGTTTTAAAATCTGAGTGACATTCCCATAGGATACATCACATTTCCTTTGTCTGTTCATCAGTTGGTAGACAGACACGCCATGTACCTTTGCCCCCAGGAAGGGTCCCCACTCATGTATAGCACTCGCAGAGGTGCGGGGGTTAGGAACTTCCAGCAGACATTGGTCCTGTCAGCCCTGGAGGCCACTGGGGTGCCCTTCCCTTCACCGTCCCAGGAACCAGTGGGGACACAGAAACACAGAGGAGGGCTAAGTAAAGAAGGAGCCTATACTATTGCATCCCTGGAGTCCTCAAAGGTGTGGACATCGTGGGTGCCTTTCCTCTGTCCTTCCTGGTCACCAGCCATCCGTGCTGGCCGTCTTGCTTACCTCCTGAGCGCCCTGGGGGTAGCCAGCCTGGGCAGAGAGCCCTTTGCAGAAACAGAAATAGCAGTGCATGGTGTTGTTGTGCCTTGGTGTGGGCAGTGCAGAGGGGACATGTAGCCCAGGGGTTACCCCCAGACAACAGAAAGCTCGGTATTGAAGTCAGAAGTCAAATCCAGTGTTTCCTGGGCCTACCCAGAGGATCCTCTCCTCGGACGCCATTTAGCTGTACATGTCCTCAGCCTCATCTCCATGCCTGGATCCGTGTTCCAGCCGGACTACCTGGTCCAGACCTCACTTCTTAGACTCCTTGCTGGAAGCTGCCTCAAGTGCTCCCTTTACTCTCTGCCCTGGAGACAGCTCCTTTGTTCCCTCTCACTCGCTTGCTATGTCTCTTAGCTTGTGTCTTCATCTTTAAAAGAATCAGTAAGATCTGCATCGCAGCATTGTTTGCAGGGTTAGAGATAGGTGCCCGACAAGGGCACACCTTAGGGCACCTTCATCGGGGGCCCATCTTGTTTTCCAGCTGGAGGAACATGCACCATATGCTCTCTGAAAGCTTTGGCCAGTTTGAGGTGTGCTGCAGAGTGCCAGGAGGTTCTACACTAGCCAGAGTCCTTGGCTATTCCTAGGAAGAGCCCCAAAAGTTAGTTCACTTTTGGGTTTGTCTGTCCTGGTTTTCAGCTTGTTTTTAGTGGTTTCTGAGGTGTGATCTGAAAGCTGGGCCCCGGTAGAATGAGGTCTGATTGTCTCCTGAGGAGTGTTTAAGTGGCGTGCTGTTTAGTTCCGAGTCCTTCTGCAGACAGGAGAGCTCTTTGTGGCAAGCGATGAAAAAAAAACCAGCTCCTCTAATACCGTCTGTGCGGGCAGAAATGGAGCCCAGATGTGATCTCAAAGGTGGGAGACTGAAACAGTCTTCTTCCCCTGACATCATGCAACATGTGTCAGAAGACCCTTAAACATCGTCAAGAACAGAACGAGCTTCACTTGACAGGAGAAGACCAGGACTTAGAGGGTGGAGGGGCTCATCTAAGGTCTCATGCTGTGTTGACAGAAGAAAGCCTAGGGCCCTGGTGGCACCTGTGTGTGAGGGCCAAGGCTAAGACTGCAAAGAGAAGCAGGAGAGTCCCTTCATGCCTGTCATTGGCTGAACCCCAGCAGGACGTGAGGGGGTCAGGCCGCGCCACGGCTCCCCAGCTCCCTGATTTGAACAGTTCCAGATGGCTGCTTGGGTAATAGATGCAGTCTTGGCAGCACTGAGCCATTGGATAAAGATTTTGCCCATAAATATCTTAATTTTATTTACTAGGTTGTCTGGCACATAATAGCATACATTATTAATAGAGAAGCTTAATACTATCTGTTAAATAGGCACACTCCGCACATCGCACGGCGAGCCTCTCTTTATGATGTGCTTTACAACACCACATGACAACACTCGTGCTCGGAATATCCTAGCGGGCTTCCAATGACAGCCCCTGAAAGCAGAGGTTGTGTCTGGCACCAAACCTTAGTCTGTGGGTCATGCCTGTATTATGTCTGAAGGGCCCCTTCCAAGAGCCCTTTGGTTCTGAAACTTTTATTTCCCCCAACTGCCCAAGTTTGTCCGCTACCTCCTATGGTAAGTCACGGAGATTTCATCTGCCACCCGAGGCCTTGTGAGCGCTACAACCACGGCACTGTGGTAGAGTTCTACTGTGACCCCGGCTACAGCCTCACCAGTGACTACAAGTACATCACCTGCCAGTATGGAGAGTGGTTTCCTTCCTACCAAGTCTACTGCATCAAATCAGGTGAGTCTGGAGGCGACACCCTTGGGGGAGGCTGGTGCTCCGAGGGCAGCCTTCAAGCTGTGTCCAGGCTGCGTCCTGAATGACATCTTACCTTATCACGAGCCTCAGGACCAGGCTGTAAAAATGGGCCTTTGTGGAGATGGGTGGCTGTGTTGGACTCGGCCAAGGGCTTCCAGGCCTTTTTCAGAAGGTCAGGAACATGTATGAGCTGAATCAGAGCCCTGGTACCCAGGGAAGAACTCAACTCCTGCAGTTTCTCACAGCCTTAGCGCCACCCGCTGGCAAGGATGCAGGCCCATGGGTGTAATCAGAGTTATGTGCATGGCTCAGGGATCTGAACAGTGGATGACCTCACCCTTCTTTTCCATTGAGGGGCACGCATCCAAATAGGAATGATATTATTGTGGGTTAAGAACTGATCTCACACAAGTGGAGACTGTATACAAGCTCCACGGCCTCCTGGTAAATGATGTCCTCAGCCCAGCAGGACCTTGCTAGAGATGGGTTTTAGTGTCGTGTGGGTCCTAACGTGGCTTACATATGTACTGGATGAATGGTAAGTCTGTTGAGGCATACCACGGGTAGCTCATGCACCAGATGACTACCCACCAAAGGAACGTGGTACCTCATGTCTGGGTTTGTTATCTCTGGCAGAGCAAACGTGGCCCAGCACCCATGAGACCCTCCTGACCACGTGGAAGATCGTGGCATTCACGGCCACCAGCGTGCTGTTGGTGTTACTGCTCGTCATCCTGGCCAGAATGTTCCAGACCAAGTTCAAGGCTCATTTCCCCCCCAGGTCAGTGCAGCAGAGAGGGTGCACATGAAGACACAGCTTAAAGGTCTGGGTAGACTGTCAGGGAGAGAGCACCATGATGGAGACGGGCCTCATCCCTGCCTCCCTGCGCAGGTCATTCTGGAGCAGGCACTCTAGGGGACTGGAGGAAAGGACCAGACCAGGGATGCAAGTTGGGCATGCCCCATCGGGACCACCCCCATCACGGTCCGCCTGCTGTGGCCCTAGAAGATGACTTGCATACACCTGGGGAGGCCTCGAGGTCAGGGATGTGTCATGGCAGAGGTCAAAATAGGACAGGAAGCTTCAGAAAGGAGAGCAGGCCTATGAGTGGGAAACCAGAAAGGGCCTGGGATGGGACCTGGGGCTTCAGATGGTGGCTCTCTATCCTCCTTGGCTGCACCAGAGGGCGGGGGTTGGTGTCCTCACACCTGTGTCGTCCTCGCTCCATGACTGTCCTTACAGCTGAGCTTTGACAACACACGCTTTCTTTACCTCTAAGTCAGTCATCCTCATCTCTAGGTTGCCCTCACAATGGTACCTAGTTGTCAGAACGAGAAATTTGAGGTTCATGTCCGAGAAAAAGACCATGCTTCGGGTAAGAAGGGGGCTCCTGGAATCAACTCTATTCCCTCCAACACAGCCCCATACCCCTCACCTATCAGGAATGTGGAAAGGGAGAGGAGTCGAGCTTCCCCAAATCTCACACGCACGCAACAGCTTCATCTTGCTTAGCAGTTCTGAACCTGGCAGCAGACACACCATAGGTCACACCCAGCAGGTGCCTCACTCTCCCCAGCTCCGTGTATTGGTGTGAGGGGTCACATGTCCTCCCCAGGCCCAGAGGTGTATCAGCGCCTCCCTGTGGCATCACCAAGCTTTTGCTGTGGTTCCAGAACCTTCCTTTCCTCTCCTCCATCTGCTCTGGGTCTTCAGCATTATTATTTATTAATCAAGAGACCATGTTCTATCACTAAGCAATTACAGTTTCTCAAGAAGACCAAAGGATCACAAGAAAAAGCTAGACTACACCACTGTGGTTTACAGTGTGTGAAAGACCTTCAGATGGCCCACAAAGCTATATATATGCTTGGAAGAGTTTTCTAACATAGGGACTACTAGGATGTCTTTGAAATTTTCTCAAGACTCGCTTGATAGTTTTCTTTTAGTTGTTTAGTTTTAGTTTCTTCAGTTGTTTAGGGCAAGTTGTTGTCATCTGTCAGAATGGAGTACAGGTACGGTACACAAGGGCATGCCAAGGACAGACAACTGTGTTTTCCAGGTCCCAGGTGTTTAATATCAACATATATCAAAGTCACACAGCATGACTGGAGCTGTGCAGAGGGGACTGGGGCCCGAGCATGGGCTGCTAGGGTAAGAAATGAGCAGAGGTGTCTGCCTGCTCGGGTCTGACAACAGGAAAGCAAGGAGCAGGGAGGAAGTCCTGAGTGAGCCAAGAAGGCTAACGGGAGACCTTGGAGGTCAGAGACGGGCAAGTGCAGCTTGTTCTGGGCTCTGTTCTGGACAGATGAGAAGCACTCGCCCGCCTGTCCTCCCTCCCTCCCTCCCTCCCTCCCTCTCTCCCTCCCTCCCTCCTCCCTTCCTTCCTCCCTGCCTCTCTCCCTCCCTCCCTCCCTCCTTCCTTCCTTCCTCTCACCTTCTAGGGAATGCAGGTCTAGGTGGTCTCTTGCCTTCTCTGGGTAGACTTAAAGGACTGGAGCAAGAAGGCAATGCCATAATCCCTGAACTTTTGCAGATGTTTCAAAAAGCCATGGGCTTGAGGCTGTCCCTCGTGTTAACAAACAGCGAAGGCTGATGCTGCCCCTCTCCTGTAAATGCCATGTACAGACATTTCATGTCCCCTCCCAGAAGCACCTAAACAGATCACCTCCACTTCCAGCCCCATCATCCTCCAACCTCCCCTTCTGTCTTCAGTTCCCAGCAGAAGAAATAAGCAGCCAAGCTCTAGGCTGTTTTACTTACTGCTCTGGGCATTTCTGGAGCTAGGAGCAGAACCTGGTGGTCTCATGGGTGCAGATGTTGGTGACACACATCTCTAGGGTCAGGTTCGACACCACGGTGTGTTCACATGATATGAGAAGCAAGGGCCAGACCAGGAGCAGTGCGTGTGCTCCACCAGGGAGGGAGCACCTGCAGGGATGGCGGGCTGTGCGTGTGCTCCACCGGGGAGGGAGCACCTGCAGGGATGGCGGGCTGTGCTTGTACTCCACCAGGGAGGGAGCACCTGCAGGGATGGCGGGCTGTGCGTGTGCTCCACCGGGGAGGGAGCACCTGCAGGGATGGCGGGCTGTGCTTGTACTCCACCAGGGAGGGAGCACCTGCAGGGATGGTGGGCTGTGCGTGTGCTCCACCGGGGAGGGAGCACCTGAAGGGATGGCGGGCTGTGCGTGTACTCCACCAGGGAGGGAGCACCTGCAGGGATGGCAGATTGGCTTCCCTGCCACCTAAAACCCTCAGAGCAACTGTGCAGGTTCTCTCTGGATCACAGGGCAGCGTTGGTTCTGAGGTGGCCATGAACCTGGGCAGTTGGAATGATGCAGTCAGAGGGGTAACTAATAGCCCACCTTTTTTAGCTTTCTATTGTGTTCTATCTCTCTAAAGTTGAGTGGTATGGTTTTGTTTGTTCCTTTTGTTCTGTTCTGTTTTTACAAAGAAGAGGCCTGATAGGCATAGATCGGTTGTGCCCTCTGGGCACTTAGTGTCACCCTCCCGTAGGATGGAGAGTGCTATAAGGAAACCTTCTGCAGAACAAGGCCACGGTGCACAGCACACCCGGAACACCCAAGACAAGAAACTGTTTCCCCACACTGTCTCTCTCATTCCTGGAGTGGTGGGGACCCTGACGTGTCCCCCTCTTTCCTCTGCACAGGGGTCCTCCCAGGAGTTCCAGCAGTGACCCTGACTTCGTGGTAGTGGATGGAGTGCCCGTCATGCTCCCAACCTATGATGAGGCTGTGAATGGAGGCTCCAGTGCCTTAGGCCCCGGGTACCTGGCCTCTGTGGGCCAGGGCTGTCCTTTACCTGTGGAAGACCAGAGCCCTCCAGCATACCCCGGCTCCGGGGACACGGACATAGGCCCTGGGGAGTCAGAAACCTGTGATAGCACCTCGGGCTCTTCTGAGATGCTCCAGAGTCTATATTCAGCCCCCATGTGTCAAGGGGGCAACCACCCTGCCCCAGACACCCCCGACACGATTTCGAGCACAGCAGGGGAGGTGGCATCCACCAGCCCAGGCATCGACATTGCAGATGGTAAGCATTTGCTAAGCTGTGGCTAGCTTCCCAGCCCAGGGCCAAGGCCATGGGCCTGTTTCTTACCCAGCTGTCACTGCTTCTCACTCTCTCAACTTGTAGGTCTATCAACAGGCCAGTTCTGGCAAAGAATGATCAGTATTTTGTGAGTAGTAATCTCAGGAGTCGAAATTTCATGCGCCCCTAAGGGTACTGAGCCGTGGAGTTCAAAGGCTAAGAGTAGACAGCACTTCAATTTTGATGCCTCTTGTTATACAGGAGTTTCGTCTTCTAGTCCTTTAATTGAATATGACTTCTGAAGGTGCTGCCTGGGAACAGCATCACACACAGGCAGAGGAACATTCTAGATGTGTGTACCAGGCCTCAGCACATCTTCCCAAACTGACTTAAAGGAGGCTGGTTCTCCTGTGCTGCTGTGCTCACTGGGAGGCCAGTGCCATGCATGCTGGAAGGTTTTGGGAGGCCAGTGCCATGCACACTGGAAGGCTTTGGGAGGACATGCCATGCACACTGGAAGGCTTTGGGAGGGAGGACGGTGCCATGAGGAGTGCTGCCTGCCTCAACCATGGAGCACCACATCCCCATCTGACCCCAGAGAAGTACAGTGTGTAGAAGTCACGTTGCCCAATGTAAAAGAAACGAAAGATGCATCAGTCATGGGGAAGATTATAGTCCATGAAAGTAGTAAAATGTATCGGAGTCATCAGATCTCCACTTCCCCAGGGGAAGGAAGCTGACGCCACTCTGTAAAATCACATTGACTCCAGAGTGGGGCCACAGTAAACAGTAGAAGCAGGACAGTAATGGGCCTGCTGGCCCACAGAGCAGCCTCCCTGTGCTCTGCCCTGCTTCTCTGCACTTGGAATTGTAACATGTTGGCTTGAGTGACTGTGAGAGCCTGTGGTGAAAGTCTAATGTTGTCCTTTTTATGAGCTGGATGTAAAATCACAAACTGTTCTCTGGCAAATAACTAGTATACGGGGCAGGGAGAAAAGATACTGTTTTATTTGACCTTTAAGGGATGCGTGGAGCTGAACGTTTTCCTTTCTCCACTGATTTCTGGCATGGGAGCGGTTTTAATGAGACTTGTAATTCCAGATCATGTAGCTTTCAGCTGTACTAAGCAAATAACCACCTTTTCCTTTCCAGAGATCCCTCTAATGGAAGACGATCCCTAGCTGGGTGAAGTCCTGCTAATGCCACTGTCCCCTTTGAGGGAAAGAGCCTTGAACCTTGGAGTGAGACCACAGGAGGACGGAGCTTGGAGGAAACCGGGGCATTTTCTAACCTGTCTACACGGGGACAGTGACCACACCACACATCTCCAGCAGGATTGCGGGGCTGCGCCCCAACGGTGGCAGTGCTTCCCAGTGTTGTGACCCGCAGGGAACAAAGGGCAGAGGGGACTCTGCATCACCCCCATGACAGTGTTGAGTGTCTCTCGCTACGAGACAGTGGCACACACATCCTGACGAATCACATATCCTGTTGGCTTATGTTACCAGCTCTCCCCACCCCTCTGAAAGCATGTCACATTGTGTAAATCCGCTTCTAAAATCTGCTGTGAACTGTCTGGGGACTCTAGATCTGGACAGGCCTGTCTCTGTAGAAAGCCCATGTTAACCAGCCAGCCCAAGAGCAGACCCTTCTCTGCCCTCATTAGTAAGGGACGGGCTCCCAAGGCAAGACTCTCATGTAATACTCAGACCATCTTCTACACCGGGACAACTGTCAAAGCAGGATGTGACAGTTTGGATGAGAAAGGGAAGGGGAAAAAAAAGCCAATTCTGCTTTCTGGAAATTAACCCATGCAGAGCCCCCATGCTCTGTGCTGCCCTCTGGTGACGAGCATCGGTGTTTGTATTTGTGGTGTGGCAGAGGATCCCTGGCCTGAGATAAACCTGTGACTTTACACACAGTGAGGACATGTTCAGATGCATCTTGTGGTGGACAGTGTTTGGTTTGGGTATTTCAGAAAGTCTCCATCGCCTTCATCTGCTCGTCCATGTGTGGGTCATTGTGATGGCATTGTCCCTGACCCTAAAACTTAACCATACTTTTCTTTTCCAAAGCAGAAAGTTTCTGTAAAACACATTCTGCATCCGAAGAAAGTGTAAGTCGGCTCTTAACCCCCCCCCCCCAGCTCTCTTTGTGCTGCAAAGTCTGGAGGCTGGCCCCCCCAGCCCGAGCCACCCTGCTCTCTTGCTTCCAGGGGGCCTTTGACCCCGCCTGCCCGCCGTCCTGCGTTCCTACTGTGAGGGTCTCATGGCACCCACTGGGTGTTGTGCCTAAGAAACTGATTTCTAGAGAAACCCCGGTCCAGAAGCGTCTCTTCAAGTATATCTGGTCTGTGACGTCGCTTCCATTCCTCCTCTGGGTCAGACAAATGTAAACAAAACGCTCACCCATAAAAATCACTGTGCTGGCAGAGCAGCAAGGGCTGGAAGCTTGATCGAGTCCTGTTTTCTCTCGACACAGACTGATTAAAAATTAAAAAGAAAATGGCAGCTTGGAGCGTGGCTTTAATGGTGGAGTGGAGAGGGGAGGGTGGGAAGGGCGTGACGGTGGCCCCAGGTGGCGGAAATACAACACAGGATGGGGAACCCAGAGCTGAAGGAGACACCACATGAAAGGGGCGGGCTTCGCGCTGCCTGATGCACTGTCACCATTGCCTGGGGACAGTGGTGCTGAGCCCATGGTGACAACTGTGGGTAACTGCAGATTGCTTGAGTGACAGCCCCGTGCTGCCTCTGGTGAAGCCCGGTCCCATATTACCGATTCCATTCATTTGCAGGAGTTGATGTGTGGTGAAGTGCCACGGTCTTGCCGGTGTGTGCCCCCGGGTAACCAGGCCCGCCTCAGGCAACCTCTACCAGGGAGCCAGACCTTGTCTCTTCATTCCCACCTGCCCTCCTTCCTGTGCCTCCTCATGCAGGTTGTGTCTGAGAGACCTCCCGATAAGAGTTTCTTCTCCCATGGGGCAGGCGGGGAGAGGCACACAGAGCTGTCTGAGGCCACCCCCGCCTCATTCCAGCAAATTCCAGCAGCAGGACAACCATCGGACTCGTGGGCCCAGGACAGAGTTGCCACCGGGCCCCGGGAAGACAGCAGCAGACATCCGAGGAGTTTGTCAGTGTTGTCCTCACACAGGCTGGTGGGAAGGCCCCTGCTACTCAGCTGTAGCGTCACACAATGCCCAAACCAGTCACCTGGAGCCTGCCTGCCATCACTCAACTTTGTATTCCCATCATTTATTTCCACCACAGACATAATTTGCAGTTTATTTTCCCACCCTAGTTGCTTCTGACAGAAAGAACCATTGTGAGATCCCAAGCATGGTGTGGTCCCAACACAATTCTTTTAAATATCCCTCAGTCCCTGTGGTGTGAGGGAACAGGCCACCCTCTGCTGACCTCCCCCCGTATGGAAACAAGCCTGGCTGTGGAAGAGGGAGCCAGGCCAGCTCGGGTGCTCTCCTCGGGACGGGGCAGCGCCCACCTCAACACTCCAGTCGCTGCTGCACAGCAGGCCAGTTCTGGCTGACTGGTTCCCCATCATGGGCACAGCACAAGTCGCAGGCATCTTCACACCTCATTGCCATGTAGCTTTTCCTAATTGCCAGGTTGTGATTCGCCTGTGTGGGCGCTTGAGGCCCTTTCCCACCTAATTACACCCAGCTTAGCAGCTGGCACACGGAGAAGGCTGCCTTCTGTTACTCCAGAAACGGTCCCTGGCCACCAGCAAGTCCACGATTATCAAATGCAAAGACGCCTGGTCCACAACCCATTAGGTCCAGTGGCTTCTCATAGCCCGTCCTCCCTCTGCTCAACTGGCATTCAGACCCCCTCCCACTCAGACAGCCTCAGGCTCTAGCTAGCGGCTGCCTCCAGAGTGTCGGGGGAGAGTGTGGGCTTCATAGCCTGCCCCCTCCGCCACCTCCTGGCTGTGAACTTGGATCAGTTGCTAGCCTCACTGGGCCCTTGTTTCTTCATGCGGAAACTCAGAACAGTTCCCCCTGCTTTCATTGCTGTGGACGGCAGACAGCTAGTATGAGTCAAGCAGACACTGGGGGCATCTGGGGCATGGCAGCTGTAGGTCCCGTGTGCGTAGGGGAGTGGCTGTCATATACATGATCCCACATACCTTTGGTCCCTTTGCCCTCCAGTGTGTTTGTAGATGAGGCTGATTAGGGGCTATCCAAAGCAGAGAGGCTGAGATAAGCCACGTCTGTTCCTGGAATTGTACTCCCAGGAGCCCAGCCCCAGCACACTAAGCTTTGGTATGAATGAAGTTTCAATGCGTGGGCCATCAGGCCTCTGCTCTTACTGCAGCCCAGCTCTGCTCACGGAACGGAGGGCTGGAGAACCCCAGAAGCCCTCCGCCCCCACACAGACTCTGAGGACTAACTCATCTCCACAGGCAGCCCTGTAGATTATCACTAACCTGCTTCCTTAATTTTATTGTCTATTTTCAATTTAAAGCATAAAAGTTAATGCCCACACATTTTCCAAGGTGACAAAGGGGGAAAGTCTGCAGGTAAAGACAAGCTGGTCTAGCAAGCTAAACAGGCCCCAGAGAGTGTTGCTCTCTTGTAAGGATGAACACTGAGCACGGTGGCCCTGAAGTCATAAAACTTAATGTAGAGAGTGTGTGTCACTACACATGTGGTTAACTGCCACATTGGGCAGTGTGCTGCCCCACACTGCGTGAGAAACCAGTCTCCAGGTGCCTGCCATTTATCATTCTGAGTGATCAGAGAGTAGACTGGCCACCTGAAAGAGAGTGGGGACCATCCTGAGAGCTTCATGCACAGGTTCCCGGAGTCTGGTAGCCTCAGGAGGCCTGGCGCATGTTCCTCTGAGGCCAACTGGGGAAGAGGTCCAGCAGGTGGAGTTTGGGAAGGGTCATGCAATGGAGCCCAAAGGAGCAGACTAACACCTGCCTGGAAGCTGGGAGAAGTCTTTATAGACCTACTATGTGCGGGCTATCATGGGTCCCAGAAACAGGGGAGGAAATACATCTCTAAACCCCAGGTTCCTCACTATTCAGAGGGAATTAAATGTGTCTTAAAGATCTCCTTAGGCTCCAACAGAGTGGCGATCTTCTTGGTGGGTTTTGTTGTTGTTTGTTTGATTGCTTTGGTTTGTTTTTAGTCAAACATCAAGTATGGCCCAGCTCTGTCTTCTCCAGTCTCTTTCAGCAACTGCTCACTCCTGTTAGTGCTCAAGCTACCCCAGCCCACATCAACTTCAGAATGACTCAGTTTACCTCCTCCCTGGAGCGCATGCAACTCAGAAGTGGCCCATCCCAGTGACTACACACACACACACACACACACACACACACACACCGCCCCAAAAGGGCTTACACACCAAGAACAGATGCCCTCATTTGGGGCAAGGGTGAGAGTTAAGGGCTAACAGCCCTGTGAAGTCTGGCCTCCCGTGGCATCTCCGTAGACCTCCCTGCAGCTGGCGAGAGGCACAGATGCTACAGTGAGGCTGTGGGGTCCGTTCTAGTGTAAAGACTTGGAACCACTGAAATCCAAGAAATCTGTGGACCCGATGAAGCCACAGATTCTTTACAGTTGTGTGGCATTTCTGGCCCCAGGAAGTGTGTTCATCTCTTTTGAAACCTGTTTTTCCGGCCTGTCTCAGGGGTAACAAAGCCCACACACTTCTGCAGGAGGCACGGACATCCCTTCAACTCCTGGTGCAGACTTCCTGTTCATGCTGTAGGTGTGTCCAAGACCTCACCCCTGCACCCCTCTTTCTCATGAGTGTGTGTGTGTGTGTGTGGGGGGGGGGTGTAAGTTTGGTATGTGTATGCATCTGTGCTGTGTGTTTGAGTGGTTTGTGTGGTGTGTGTGGTGAGTGTGCGTGTGTGTATGTGGTGTTTGAGTGTGTGTGTGTATGGTATGAGTATGTGGTGTGTGCGTGTGTGAGAGTGTGTGTGATGTGTGTGTATGTTGTGTGGGGGGGTGCGGGCAACTGAACCCATCCAAATCTTCACACACACTAATCGAGAACTCTTCCACTAAGCTGAATCTCTAGCACTCCTAGGCTGACCTTGAACTCACTCTATTTCCAGGCAGGCTCTGAACTTGGAATTCTCCAATCTCAGCCTCTAGATTCACTGGGATTATAAACCTGTATCCCCAGGCTCAGCTTTTTAATAGACTTTTTTAAAGAACAGTTTTAGATGTTTTTTTTAACTGCCCAAAAAGTAGAGCCCCTTAGCCCTGGATTCCCTTATTAACACCTGCATTAATGGATGCAATTGTTACTTAGTTGATCAGCTCACACAGTGCTGACCAGACTCTGTAGCTTACATTGCTGTTGGCTGCCTGTGTTCTGCCTTCTACAGGCTTTCACACACGTGTAATGGTGTGTGTCCACCTCACACATGTGTAATGGCGTGTGTCCACCTCACACACGTGTAATGGCGTGTGTCCACCGGGTCATAACTCAGTCATTTCATTGTCCCAAGCCTCCTTCATACTCAGCCTATTGTCACCTCCTCCACACCCATATCCACACACACTGGCAGTCACTTATTGTAGCTGGATTTTTCTTTGGGCTGCCAGCTCCCAAATAATGACACGGAGACTTCTTATTAATTATAAAAACTCAGCCTTAGCTTAGGTTTGTCCCACCAGGTCCTATAACTTCAATTAAGCCGTTTATTTTCATCTGTGTTCTGTCACGTGACTCGTTACCTCATCTCTCAGAACTTCTCATGCTGCTCCCTCCTTACCTTGCAGGCGACTCTACCTTCTTCCCAGGGTTCTTTCCCTGCCCCGCAGTCCTGCCTGTACCTCGTGCCTAGCTATTGGCCATCCAGCTTTTTATTACGCCAATCACAGCAATGCATATTCACACAGTGTACAAATCCCCCACAACAACTTGTCTTTCTTATGCCTTTAGCTCTGCATTTTCCTAAAGGTCATACAGTTGGGACCCATACTTAAACTTTCCAGTCTGGCTTCTTTCATTTGATCATGTATGTATTAAGTTTCCTCTGTGTCTTGCAAAGGAAGAGGAGAATGGCCCAGTCTTTAGACTTCAGAGACCATTCTTACAGACTTATTAACTCTGGGAAAACTATGAGAGGCTAGGAGTCTCTTACCATGACTCCTCCCAGGCCATTCAAGTGTCCCAGGAAAGTGGACTCCATGAGGTCCTTCAGTCCCCAGGCTTGGGTGGGAGACCCTGCCTGCTTTTGTCTTCCCCTCCCATTTGGCCTGGTTGAGTTTTCTCCATGCATGCCCTGTTGCACCTGCTGAGCAGCCTGCATCTGAGAATGTAGCGAGGTGGTCTGGATAGATGACACAGAGACCGGTCAGTTGCTTTTAGAAAACTTTATGCTCCCCAAGTCAGCTTAGGAGAACTCTCCAAGAAAAAACGCTTCCCTTTTTTAAAGACTTCTGCCATCAATCTACATACAATTCTCCAACCGAGCTCTCACACACCTCTCACAGCTCTCACAGACTTCTCACCCTCCTGGC